GTGGCCCAGGGCAGCGCGCCGCGCGGGTATGAGATGGGGGGAAGCGCGGCCAGCTGGCCTCCATTCGGCCGCAGGTTGGAGAAGTAGAAGGAGTCGGGAGACTGCAGATTCAGCAGCGAGCCCACATAGCCCGCTCTGTAAAGACTGCGCTCACACATCTCCAACAAAGGGCTTCGGCTACGCTCGCAGCAGTATTTAGTTACAACCGGGAATAAGAGGACAGGCTCAGACGATTGGACGAAACTTTGCCTGCAGGTTCTTCAAAGCCGGTCATTTCAGCACCGCCTACATCCCCCGACCCGGTTTTCCCCCCCCTTCAGGGTATTATGATAACACCCGCAATATTTGATGGTGAAGGACACGGCTGCCAGGCAGAGCCAAGGCAGGTTGAGGGGAGGCGAAGCCTCCGTGAGTTTCCAGGCCCAGTGCAAGGAGCCGGGGCGTCGGGCACAGGGTGCCTTTGCCCGAGTGTCCCTTGGGACCCTTCTTGGTCTTGATTGGCTTTGCGCTCCCGTTTCCTCCGCTTACCTGGGCCCGGCTTGCTTCTCCCAGCTCTAAGCTGCCGCCGAGGCCTTTTCCAGTACCCGGTGACTCGGCTTGTCGGAAGATCCTGTGGTCTGGGGCGGCCGCCAGCTCTCTCCCTAGGCCTAAGCCATGCTACTCCCAACCCGGTCCTCCCCGGCCGTCCGGTCTCCCTGGAGAGGACTCTTCACCGGTGACCTGGCAGCGGAGACCCACGCACTGCCCGAGTTCGGGGTCCGGGCTGCAGGCACAGTCCCCGAGTTCTGATGATGGAGAAGGGCATCACAGACGCTCCCAACGCTGGCGCCCAGGAAGGAAGCTTCACACCAGTCCTGGGTGCTTCCTCACGGCCAAGCCCTCCGCTCCGGAGGAGGCCCTGGCGGGGCGGCTGGACTGGCCAAGGCTACATTCCTTTTACCGCCAGGAGTCACCTTGGCGACTACATCCTGCAAAGCAGAAGTCCAAGGTGTTCATCCCTCTGTGGCGGGCAGAGCAGGCCGAGCTCCCCCAACCTGGTGAGGCAGGAGCGCGCAGCCAGAGCTCCGGGCCAGGAGCAGCGGGGCCGGCGGAGGAAG